GAGGTTGAAATTTCATTCAAATCTGGATGTGAAAACCTTATGATAAATTATATCATATGACAATGTAAAGCCTAGTCACATCATTGCGCGTCTCTCTGATCCAGAGTAATTAAAACTATCGTGAAAAAAGTAATGATAACTTCTAACTATACTCTTAAAAAATCCTCAAACTACATATAGTGGTTTCCCATCTTGATATGTACATATATTTTCATACAATTCACTTTTATTTTGGCCACGTGTAACTATAGCATGTAAGAAAAAGCCGAGGAATCTTCTTAATTAAATGTTAGCTATAGTTTTTTAAAGAATAAAATCAACAACTGATAATTATTTTTATACGACAGACGAAAGCTCGTTAGGCTTTCATCAGAACCGAATGGCGGAGGTCTCATGGACTGCATCAAACTGAACTACTACAAATACCAATCCTGGAAGAAAAGGTAAGGAAGATTAAGATCTGTGAGAACTTTTATAGTTGCTGTAGGTTTCAAATCGAAACTATATACCTGAAGCCCCCGTGTGTCTGGCATTACTCAGCTTCCGTAGCTATATTCATTCATAAGTCCAGGCTATTTCCTCGTACTGGCGATATCAATTCAAGTGTTTATTTCACACATCGTTACTGTAACGAACAATGAATTTAACTATGAAATAAAATAGTAACTGCAAATCCCTTGGTATAAAAACGCGATAAATATCATCATTAAGTAAAAATGACGAGTGGAGGGAACTTACCTGCACACATAAGATTGTGCAGCTCAGGGTCGTCGTTGCTATGCACAGGTCCAAGTGCACCTCCAGTATCGCGAAAGTTCCTTGGTTTCTCTTCCTTCTGCTCTTCTGGTGTATTGAATACATACCCAGGAGTCTCTTCTTGGGCTAGCCCTATTTGGCTTGATTTAGCATCTTGAGGATCGAAAGGCATTTGGGTGAGCCCAAGTTTGTTCAGTTCGATCTCTTTGTTGATAATCATTGATTCAGATAGTTCTAAGCTCTGTGACAAGCTTGTGGTTGTTCCGCTTGAAATATTTTTATTTTCCCCACCAAGTCCTACGAGGGAGGAAAGACCTTGTGGAACTGGGCCTGTCAACTCACGGATACCATGTGTCTTACTGAGTAGGAAAGCTTGGGAATCACCGACGCTCGCTACAACAACAGCAAACTTTTGATAGGCGATAGAAGCTTCATTCAGTGAAGGCGGCCCTGATAACGTGGGAGTATTGGGTAGTTTCAACTGGACGGTGCGAAGAGCAGAGCACGTACTGGAACCAACTGAGCCTCCAGATGGCGACGGCAAGTTAGAATTGCCCATCTCGGAAACTTCGTTTGAAGACGAATTATGAGAATTCATGACCTAGAGAAACGAAAAATTCCGTTCTTACTATGAGCCTAGTTAAAATACCACTTTCACAGACTAAAATCAAAACTAGATAAAAAAATCTTATGGATGGCAAATATTTTTTAAACCCCAGCTCGTCGTGATCATGGAATGCTAAAGAATAAGAACCCATTGACAAATTGGCATGAAAAATGGCCTCGATATTCGTTCATGCTATTATTAGATAAAGTTAAAATGAATCCTTATCAAAAATAGTTTCTAAAATTTTTATTGAGCTTGTCTTTAAAAAAGGACTTAACGAATCAAATTTATTCCGGACCCTCTAGTGGATGCTTTATGTATCCACCTAATTTTGATGATAGAGACAAGGCGCTTTATAAATTTGCGGTACGTATCCTGAGGTTCCTAACTAATAAGCTGAGTAGAAGTAAGCTTCTGTCTTATATCAACAACATAAAAATAAATTGGTATGAAGACCAAGATGTTGTGATCTCTATTTTGGCCGCAGTCTCCTTTCGATGTATTGAAATGTTCTGACCTAGTTTTAGCAACTTGGTCATGTTGCCAGAGCGACTTAATTGGATGTATTTTGTCTGAAGCCTTCTGCTACAATAGCTATCAGAATTTCTAGCGTTGGACTGTGGGCTTGATACATTCCCAGACTTTTCATCGGCATCGTCAGTGAGCCTTGCCATTCACAACAGCAAGCTACAACTTATCAAAGGCACCATTTTTCATCATATCTTTGGTCAAGAGAGTGACTTTACTCGTCTTTTTGACAAGTTGTGTCTCGGCGCCGAGAAAATTTCAAGTAAAATTTTTCATAGTAAAATTTAAGTAAAATTTTTCATCGTTTCACTGCACAGGGCAAAGGGTGACCGGTTATATACTTGCATATCTGCTTAAATTTTTCTAAATGTGCTTATTCGAAGTTTCTGGTTAGAGGTTCGATGTCTCGCGTCTGTATAGACTTAACTGGAAAATGAGATGTATTCACCCTATTTCGTGTAAGGTGATGAAGGACTGGTAGTAGAATTTTCCCACAAT